AGAGGAGAGAGAGAGAGAGAGGAAAAACTGGGTAGGGGAGTGTTAGGAAGGAGGGCAACAGGATGGCAGAACAAAGGGAGAGGGTGAAAGGGGATGGCTTGGAGACGGGATTGTCGAATGAACCAGATTCGAATATTACCTGGTGCGACAATTTCGCCAAAGAATTCGGTTTTGTTCGCACACTCGCGAACACGATCCAGTAAATCGCTCAGGGAGTGTTTCAGATGCCCGGTCGTCACCAGCTCGTCGTCCGCTGCGATGGTTACAATCCTCCACGAAATCGGCATGCTGTTTCGCTCTGCCCCCGCCAGTCGCAGGGGCATCGCCAGAAGAGGAAAAACGTCGTACACGTCGCCAGGTTCGCGCGCCTGCGACCCAATCTCCAGCGCTTCGAGAGGCACGTTGTCGCACGCCGTTAGGAGCGAATCTGTGCGTTCAGAATCACCATCGTTCGCATCGCCGCAGGAGAACATCGACATGGATCGCGACGCGAGAACGCACGTCTGCGGCAGGATGCCCAGATTCCACGGCGACGCGATTAGGAGCGACGACGGCGACGACGAGGACGGCGACGACGACGACGACGATGGCGACGATGGCGACAACGTCTCCGACTCGCAGTCGGTCTGCACTTTCATACGGCTGCCGTCCAGGCTCAACACGACCTTCCGCTTCTCCCGCAGAAAAAGGGGGTCGTCGCGGCGCCGAAGCTTATGGCTCCCGCCGTGATCGGCGGAGGGGGACTTGGCGGAGCGGCAGACGAAGGAGAAGGTGCAGGCGGGGAAGGGGGGACCGGGGTGGCGCGGGGAGAAGAATTCGTTCGCGGGAGGCGGAGGCGGAATGAGGAGGATGTCGTGCCAGATGGAGGACACGTGGCCGGCGCTGATTAGCGGGAGAATGCTCGTGGGCGACGATCCGACGGCCCGCAGCGGCGCCATGATGACGTTGTAGATACCAGCGTGTGATGAGTCGATTTTTGAGTCGACTCAAGAAGTAGCTTTAGTGAGGCAACAGAGAGGCAGCGGCCAAGGGAACTACTCATGTGATGCGAGGATGAAGATGCGGAACGGAAACTGTAAGGTATCTGGTGCAGGTGCGCGAGTTTATGATGAACAACGAGGCCTCAAACTCGGCCTCTCATTTTCGGGAGCACCTGAGAACGAGATATAATAACAGCGTCGTATTGGTTGAGCGACTTGATCCCGAGTCGGCGGCGAAACGCCGCGAGCATTAATGGTCCCCCGTCCAAGATTTGCAGGCAGTCGAGAAGAAACGACGACGTCGGCTGTCCAAACCGACCTCGAATCTTATCGATATTCGTCTCCTGGCCGCCGTTGGTCCCGCAAAGTAACGCACGCTCGTGGCGGCCCGAGGAGGAGCCATGTGGAAAATAAGCTAACGGAAACTCTCCGTTGCAGTCGGCCCGACTAACCGCTAGCGACTGGCAGCCAAATGGCTGTAAGTACGGATGCTACAGTTTGGGTGAGTTGTCGAGGTCTGGTCCTAGTGTATTGCGTGAATGCGAGTTCTGTCCGTGGATGATGCATCAACATCCGCTCAGGCAGATCTAGCAGCCAATACTAGAAATGGCTGCCAAGCGTGTCGCGTTCAAGTCAAGCCGACTTGAGAGGCCTGGTTGATGGATGTGTGTGCTCAACAGGTTTTGCGAGTCGAGTTTCGGTACGGTTTCGATCTAGTATATGCGGTTGAGTACGACGAAGTGCACTCTGGAGCGGTGTGAAGCGCTCCTTCCTGGCCTCAACATTCCGTACGGTTTAAAATTTTAGCGAACTTTCGAAACCAGCTGACTGAGCGCGTGGGGGTTTGGGTGCAAGCAAGAGGAGGGGGGGAGGTTGATTTGGGGGGCAGCTGATCTTCATTTCATTCACACACGGGCGTGAGGGAGCACTACAGTTTGGTTTGCAATTGCGATGACAAACCGAGCAGCGAAGCGGTTACCGAACCAGCTGCTGGCCCTACATTCAACCAAACCTGCGCTTGATGCAACAAGCCCGGAAACTTATGTATGGTTGGAATCACACGGATTTCCGAACCTGAAGCAGCCACTGTGATTCCAAACCAAGCAGGCACTTCATTCATTGGGGGGAATAAATTGTTTTGTTTGCACAGCGCCGCAGCACCACAATGCCCATATTTCAGCTCTTGGGAGGGCCGCGCGATTGGTCCCTCGGAAAGGGTTTGGGCTCCATGCCAAGCACAACACAAATATCTGTACGGGACATTACATGGGTTGCTCTACGAAATGGGACATTATCCTGTATGATGGGCCACTATAACGGAATGGGACATTATACATTATAATATATCTGTTTCACAAACATGGGCTTATCACGGGATGTCTCTCAGCTTAGCTATCGCGAGCGGTCACAGAATCTTATACACAACATACCGTCATACCCCGGATATACCCCCATGGGGGGCAATAATAAAACAGGTTTTTTTTGGGGGGGTGGGCTTATAATCGAGTAAATTTATAAGCGCCGACGTTTATAAAATGACATATATATATTTTTTATGTTTTTTTAACACCAAACTGTAGATCTCGTGCTTGCCTTTTCAATCGAGTCGAAGTTACATGGGGTCGTCTGTGAAATTCTTGCGCGCGCTGTGATGCGAGTGAATCTGACTCACATCCAGCTCCTGACAGCTCCTGCTGACTGGACCCGCATCCAGTGCAGGGTCCGAATGTGAAGGGAACCGAATCTGCAACACATCCGCCTGCTAAAGTAAAAATCGTTACAGCGTTTTGAACACATTTCAAAATTTAAAGTTTACGTGCGCTTATAATAAAACAAGTTTTTTCAGGGGGTGCGCTTATAATCGAGCAGCGGATATAAGCGCCACACGCCAATTAAAAGCGCCAGGCGCTTATCCGAGGGTGGCGCTTATATCCGGGGTATGACGGTAATACGTTTTAAAAACGTTCAAATCAACCTTCATGCAGAAAAAAGTGAAATGCAGTATTTATTTTCATGCGGAAAGAAGTGAAATGCGATATTTATTTTCTAGTATAGCACACTCAAAGAAAACTTGAAAGTCTCCCTTGCACAAATGCGTTTATTCATGCGATGCCATGTCATGTCTGTTCATGCTTACTGTAGTGTTGGGGGACTGCCTACGCTGGGGAGAGTAGGGGATCCGAATGGTGAGCCATAGGGCATGTGCTAGGATTTAGGGCACCCTGAGCCCTCAGGGCAACTTCTGAAAACTTTCCAAAATGCCCTGATTTTTCAGGGCAAAATTCTCTGGCCATCCTGAAGTTTCTGGGCACGAGCAAAAATTCATCTGGATGTTTTAGGGCAAAAAAACATACGAAACATTAGAGTGGAGGGGAAGGCACGAGAGGAGCAGGTTGTTCAGTGGTTTCAGTACAACTGGCTGAGCAAAATCTTTGGAGGGGGAGGGGTGGGGACAAAACTAGCACACATACACCCCGGCCTCCTTCCTCCCCTCTCCCCCCCTCCCCCCTCCACCGCTTCTTCCCCTTTCCACGAGTCAGGGCATCACTCTACATTCACCTTAACACTTCAGGGCAAAATTTCACTGCCATTCTGAAATTTCAGGGCAAAACACATTATTCATCCTGACGTTACAGGGTAGATTTCAATGTCATTCTGAAATTCCAGTGCAAACTTAAAACACCATCATGAAATCAAGATAATCAGGATGTTTTACCCTGATATCTTGGGCCTTGGTGAGCAATGGCTTAGGTTCCGTTTGTGCAAGCTACGAGTCGGCACCACCACAAACGGGGATCGTGATTTTCTTCCTCCCCATCTCCCCTGTGCTTCCCCAACTGATTCCCCACCTGCTTCCCCACGGCACTGAGTTCCCACCTACTTCCCCATCTGAGTTCTCACCTGCTTCCCCACTTGCGAAAGTTTTCGACCAGCTCGGAATGTTGGCCGTTGCCAAATCCCCGAGCTCCGATAACGACACATTCCGCCTGTGCCTCACGCCCAAACTCTGGCCAGAACTCGGGTCAGAACTCGAGCACTTTACAGGAAGCTTAGAAGGAGGCGGAAGTGTCAGAATCCCAGCCACTAACCACTGGGATAAAAGGGCTTGTTTATATAGCGGGTGAGTGCGCCCATAACCCCCCAGGCCAACGGGCCTGTAACCCTTCCCTAGGATCATCGGGGATCTCCAGTGGACCTCTGACACCCCCCCGCACTGGGATGCCCGAAGTGCACACACCGGGAATCGAACCCGAGACCTTCGCTCTGATACCATGTCAGAATCCCAGCCACTAACCACTGGGATAAAAGGGCTTGTTTGTGTAGCGGGTGAGTGCGCCCATAACCCCCCAGGCCAACATGCCTGTAACCCTTCCCTAGGATCATCGGGGATCTCCAGTGGACCTCTGACACCCCCCCGCACTGGGATGCCCGAGGTGCACACACCGGGATTCGAACCCGAGACCTTCGCTCTGATACCATGTCAGAATCCCAGCCACTAACCACTGGGATAAAAGGGCTTGTTTATATAGCGGGTGAGTGCGCCCATAACCCCCCAGGCCAACGGGCCTGTAACCCTTCCCTAGGATCATCGGGGATCTCCAGTGGACCTCTGACAGGAAGATTCCAGGAAGGACTGGATGGAGGCCTCATTGTGGCGGTTCGTGGAGTGACTGGGGAAGCACAGGGAGAGAACAAAAATGCAGCGGCAGTTGCAACAGCACCAGCAGCAGTTGCAGCAGCACCAGCAGCAATTGCAGCAGCACCAGCAGCAGTTGCAGCAGCATCATTAGCAGCAATACCAGGGACCGTCACTCCCTGACTAGCCTCAGCAGCTTCACCAGCGATCTTATCAGCGATGCTTCCTGCCAGCCCGTCCATGCCACCTGCAGCAGCACCAACGCCAACAGACGTATCAGCAACACGGGTCTTACCAGTGGTGGTGACAGTGGCAGTAAAGGGCTTTAAGTCAGAGCTCCATGACACGTGCTTGCGGATTTTCTGAGAAGCCATGGAGGAGATGGCTGGTTTGATGGTGGAGTGGCAAGTAGAGAGGGACCAGGAGGTGGTGGGTGAGTGGGAAAGAGTGAGAACACAATCAATAACCACCACGGATTTACCAGCCACACGACCAGCAGACTCCGGGCTGTAAAGCCAGTCTTTGCTATTCTTCATCATCAGAGAAAAGTCTACGCTGTGGCTGTGTCTGTGCTTGCCCGCCTTTTTCCTTGCAATACCTCCTTTCACTGCACCTCCTCCTTGCGGAGATAACTCTATCAACGAGAGCTAGACAGCAGGCTAGGCACGGGGTAGGAGTGATCTCTGCGTTCGTTCCTTAGTCGTTTGCTTGTGTTCTCTCTACGCACACATTCACGGGCAAGAGTTTCACTAGCAAAAGTTGACAGGAGCAACATAGCGTGCCAAGATGCTAAGAGGGTATGCAAGGTCAGGTTGAGTGCAGGTCATCAGGTACATGAGGCAGCCAACAAGCTCTGGGTACGGGCCACTCGGCTCTACGGACTCATCCGAAGGCAGAGCTGAGAGCGAGTGACGAGTAGACAGAGGAGTGGCCTGAGGCGAGGAGTACGTGAAGTTGAAGCGCTGAAGGACCTGCTGCACCATGTGTGACTTGTCAAACATTGCATGTTTATATTGTCTAGGCTGTAGTGGGTTACACCTTAGGGGGTACACAAAGTTAGGGTTTCCTACTTGTACCAAACTCTGTTCTAGTTCATTCATTCCTGCTCAGTTATTTCTGACATGGTTTCAGAGCAGGTCCTTCGCTAGGACTGTTCTTAGGGCCCACCGACTTACCTACCTGCTTACCTTCGCTTCTTTTCGGCCCCGATGGCCCCGTCGATCTAGCACGATCTAGCGGCCCTGCGGCCCCTTCGAATTTTTTTTAGCGGCCT